AGCCTCCGTCTGGAGGCCCGTTCTGGTCACCCGGTATTCAGAGGCTGCAGGGGAGGGCCCAGCGGCGAGCGGGGGGGGAAGGCACTGGGGCTGGGGAGTTTAAAGGGGAACACGAGAGGGACAGAGGACCAACGAATTCTGAAGCGCCCCCAGGGATGCCAATGGGCAGGTGGGGGGCGGGGGGGAAGGCACTGGGGCTGGGGAGTTTAAAGGGGAACACGAGAGGGACAGAGGACCAACGAATTCTGAAGCGCCCCCAGGGATGCCAATGGGCAGGTGGGGGGCCTGGGGAGTTTAAAGGGGAACACGAGAGGGACAGAGGACCAACGAATTCTGAAGCGCCCCCAGGGATGCCAATGGGCAGGTGGTTGGCCTGAGAGGACTGCCAGGGACGGACGTGACATCGGCGTGTACCCTGACCCAGGCGGTGCGCGCCCCCGGGGCCGCCCACGCTGCCACTGATGCATGGTGCTTAGGATCCTTTGCAAGGTCCCTCCATGTCTCTGCTGAGTTGCATTACCGCAGCCCCGCCCAGATCTGTGCTCCCATCCTCGGGGAATCCTGGGGACCATCGAGCATCCGGCCACTGGGCTGGGCGGTTCCCAGTGCGCAGAGGGGCGTCGGCTGGGCGTGCCGACGCTGCCACTGATGCATGGTGCTTAGGATCCTTTGCAAGGTCCCTCCATGTCTCTGCTGAGTTGCATTACCGCAGCCCCGCCCAGATCTGTGCTCCCATCCTCGGGGAATCCTGGGGACCATCGAGCATCCGGCCACTGGGCTGGGCGGTTCCCAGTGCGCAGAGGGGCGTCGGCTGGGCGTGCCGAGAGCCCGGAACGGCGTCTGTGCCCGGCCCCTGCCAGGAGGAGCGGTTGGATGCGCCCGAGCTGCGAGGGCATGGGCAGAGCTGGGCCAGATCTGTGATAACTCCCATCCGCGGATGCCGGGCCCTGCTCCTTCTCCCGCCCTGCAGCTCCTGCAGCCAGCCCCCTCCCGGGGGAGCAGACAGGCCTGTCCTGCGGCGCTGCCCAAAGGGACAGCACTTGCATTGCCATAGCAACTGGCCTGGAACAAACCCAGGGCTTCTCTGTCCCTGCGGAAGCCCGATCGATGAGGAACTCGCTCTCCTCTCAGCCCGGCTCCCAGGGCCTAGGTGGCACAGTAGCATATTGGGGCTGAGCGTGGGGCGTCCTAGTGGGTGCACAAGAGGGGGGCTAGAACACGTGGTGCACCCCCATTTTGCACAAGTGTGGCAGACACGAGTGCAACTGCTTGCACACTCCCATGTGCAGGTACAAGGCCATGCATCTGCACTAACCACGGGCACCTCACTCAGCGTGGGTAGCAGAGCGCGCGGCGGCTGCGGGAGAAGCGAGTAATGTAGAAATGGCTCCCACCCCCCCGAGCTCTGCCCCAGCTCAGCGGCACGAGAGTAATTACATTGCAGCCAAACACAATGCTCTGATTACAGCCGGTCTCCAGCAGGAAGACTTATCATCTCAGTTGCCAGCAGTGGACACAGCAGTCGAGTCCCCCTGATTTTACAGGAGCAGCGAGGGAAGCAGGAAGAGAATCACAAATATTAGCCTAAGGAAGGCAAACAGCCTGGGTGTGAAATGAAGATTTATCTCGGCAAACACTCGGCCAGGTTTGCTGAGCAGCCCCAGGCTGCTGGTTGGCTGCCCCGTTACCAGGGCCCGCGTAGCCTGCCCGCTGCCGATTGGCGCCCAGAACAGGGGGCTCCGACCGGCCACCGTCCCCTCAAACAGCTGGCGCCCAGGTGGAGAGTCTGGGTGTGGCCTTCGGCCCTGGCCCTGCCGCCCCAGAGGCGACTGGCTCCTTTCTGCAGCGTGGGGCTGGGGGGCAAGGGGCCCTGCCACTCGGGGGCCCCAGCTGCTGGTGCATGCCGAGTAACGTAGCACCCCACATCAGGGCTCCTGCCTCAGGCTCCTGGCAGGCCGGGCAGACTCAGGTCTGGGGGCGGAAGCAGCAAACATCCCGTTAGAGCCGCGCGTTCAGTTCCGAGGGACCACGGGCTGTAGCGAGCGGAGCTCAGAGCAGGACTGGGCAAGGAGCGTGGGGAGGGCAATAGAAGACGAGCGGGCCACACTGCTCTCAAGCAGACAGGGTGCCCCGGTGCTGGAGGGGAAGGGGGACGGGAAGTCCCTTGCTTCCCTCCCAATTCCCAGCGCTGCCCCGTCACTGTTGCACCCGGGGGTGTTTGCCGTAAAGTCTGTACAAAGGGGCCATGTGAGGAGTCCCAGGAAAGCTCCTGTTCTACTGATGGTGTGTGCGCTACTCATGGACTTGTGTGACGTCTGTGTGGAGTTAGAAACATGGACTCTGTGGATGCTGGAAAATTCTGTCTCACGCAGAGCAATAAGCAAAGCACGTTCAGCCAGTGACTGTGCTAATTAGCAAAGCTCCAGGGACAATGGATCTCCAGGTGCCAATCCACACCTGAGGAATGCGTCTGGGAATCTGGATCCCTGCAAACCAGCCAGGGCAGGCGACCAGCATGTGCAACAGAGACAGGCCACTCGCCATGTGACTGCTCTGGCCAGGAAGGGGCCAGGAGAGGACGTAAGTGCCATGTGGCAATCTCCATTTTGTCTTCAGTTCAGCTGCTGATCCCAGATGCAGCCTTGCAGGGAACCACGAGCCGGGAAGAACCGTGGACCCGCCTGACATAGGCTGTAACCAGAGACTTCTAAGCCAGCGGTTTATAACGTCTCTGCTGAGCCTGCATCAAGACCTGGGAGACTGGATGCAGGACGTGTGTTCTCCTTCACACCTCACTCTCAGCCTTTTCTTTCTTTTGTTGATAAACCTTTTGATTGTGGATTCTAAAGGGCTGGCCCAGCGCGATCTTGTGGGTGAGATCCAGGGGTACATTGACCGGGCATCTGTGGCTGGTTCTTTGGGATGGGAGGACCCGTTCGGAGTGGGTGAGATCGGGTCCTAGAACCCCTCACCTGTGTTAGGCCCGGGGCGGATAGAGGCACGGGGAGAACTGGGGTGTCTGGGGGTTTTGCTCGGGAGGCTTCCTGCCGGCCGGATTGGCAGCTGGAGCACTCGGTGGGACTGGTGTGGGGCCTGTTTGGGAAGGTCTCCCGTCTGGGGCTGGGCACCGCTGAGGGTGTCCACTCAGGGCAAATTGCTCAAACTCAGGGGGGCTGTGTGATGTAGTGGGGGGTACCTTGCTGGTTGCTGTGCTGGGCAGTGGGCTGTGAGTGACCCCCACTAGCTGCTGTCTGCAGCACGGCCCAACAGGGCAGGGGATGAGTCATTATGCAAGGGGGCTAAGAACCTGTCTGACCAGTTATCTCCCAGGGAGCGGAACGATAGGGAAAAGGGGAGTGGAGCCCTGGCTGGGGGCAGGGCTGGAAGTGAGGGAGTTGAGTTGCTGTCTGGGATCATGGAGGAAGCAGCCTAGGGAAGGGGCTGGAGTTTAGGGGCCCAGGCTCCCCCATCTCAAGGGGGCTGAGGCATCCTAGGCCTGCCCTGGAACCGGATTCCATCTGTGCTGGGCTGTATCCTGGAGAGGCAATAAACTCCCTCTGTTCTACTGGCTGGGGGAGTCTGTCCGTGCCACTATGGGGGTGCAGGAGATGGGAAAACCCCAATGTGCCGTCACACGGATAGGGTCCAGAGTGACCTAGACAGATTAGAGGATTGGGCCAAAAGAAATCTGATGAGGTTCAACAAGGACAGGTGCAGAGTCCTGCCCTTGGGAGGGAAGAATCCCAAGCACTGGTACAGGCTGGGGACCGACTGGCTAAGTAGCAGTTCAGCAGAAAAGGCCCTGGGGGTCAACGCGCCGTCACAGGCTCCTTACAGCCCCCTGCTCCTTCCCCTTGGTACCCCCCCAGCACCCCCCCCCACGCTGCCTTGGCACCAACCCCCAGCGCTGCTCTGGGCTTGGCCTGTCATCTGTCCTAGGGCCGCGTGCTGGCAGGCCGAACCTTTCCAATCGCCCTT